ATAATAAATGGGACCACCTGAAACTGAGAAGCTTTTGTAGAGCAAAGGACATGGTCAATAAGATAAAATGACAGCCTATAGAATGGGAAAAGATCTTCACCAACCCCATATCTGACAGAGGGCTGATATCCAAAATATATAAGAAATCAAAAAGCTAGACTTCAAAATACTGAACAATCCAATTAAAAAATGGGCTACAGAGCTTAACAGAGAATTCTCAGCAGAAGAATCTCAAATGGCTGAAAGACATTTAAGGAATTGCTCAACATCCTTAGTCATCAGGGAAATGCAAATCAAAACAACTCTGAGATATCATGTTACACCTGTCAGAATGGCTAAGATCAAAAACACTGAAGACAGCTTATGTTGGAGAGGATGTGGAGCAAGGGGAACATTCCTCCACTGTTGGTGGGAATGCATACTTGTACAACCACTGGAAATTAGTATGGCGGTTTCTCAGAGAATTGGGAATAAGTCTTCCTCAAGGCCTAGCTACACCACTCATGGGCATATACCCAAGGAATGCTCAACCCTACCACAAGGACACATGTTCAACTATGTTCATACCAGCACTATTCATAATAGCCAGAACCTGGAAACAACTTAGATGCCCCTCAACTGAAGAATGGATAAAGAAAATGTGACATATATACACAATAGAGTACTACTCAGCATTTAAAAACAATGACATCATGAAATTTGCAGGCAAATGGATGGAACTAGAAAATATCATCTTGAGTGAGGTAACCCAGACTCAGAAGGACAAACACAGTATGTACTCACTCATAAGTGGATACTAGATGTGAGAAAAGGGATGGCCAGACTGCAACACACAGCTCCAGAAAGGCTAGCTAACAGCAAAAGACCCTAGGAGGGACACATGGATGATCCTGTGAAGGAGAGGTGGATGAGATCTACATGAGCGGACTGGGTGTGGGTGGGTGGCAGAGGGCGAGGAGTGGGGGATGAGAACATAGGGAAATGGGAGGGTCAAGCTGGAACAGGGACAGAGTAGTAGGGCAGGGAGGGAGATACCATGATAGATGAGGACATCATGGGAATAGGAAGAGGCAGGGTGCTGGAGAGGCTCTCAGGAATCTACAAGGATGACCCTACTTTGGTCTGCTGGCAATGGTACAGACATGCCTGGACTGGTCTACTCTGGTGACTGGTCTAGCAAATAACCTAGCTGTCATCATAGAGCCTTTTTCCAGTGACTCAGGCACCAGGCTGAGCTCTGGGAATCCAACTGGTGAGAGAGAGGAGGGATTCTGCAGGTGGGGGACATCGAGATCATGATGAGAAGATGTGCAGATATGACCGGCCACACTGGTTGAATCCCATGAACTGTGGACTGGTGGTTGTGGAACCCCCATGAGACTGGACTAGGCCCTCTGGATATGGAAGATGGTTGTTTGGCTCAAACTGTTTGAGGGGAATATTGGTGAAATTATTAAGGCTACTCCATTTAGTTAAAAGGGAGGTTTATTTTGTGGGGTAACTTACAAGTGAAGGGATAGTTTACAAGGTCTGGGAAAGGTGTAGCACATACCAGTGGTGTTCTCTGGAGAACTCTGCTCTGTCTACCTCCAGCTTCCAGGGTCCAGGAACCAAGAGAGCCCCTGCATCCGGATCTGGGGTCTTCAGCATCCTCTCTCAGCCTGCCTTGTAGGCGTGACCATTACCAAAGCTTCAATGGGGGTTGGAACTTCCAGGCCAAAGCTGGAATGGCTACCCACTACAGGGGCACCCAGGCAGGGGGATCAGTTGTCCCTGGTGCATGGGCAAGCTTCTGGGAATCCAGTGGCTGTGGTGTGATGCCTTGCACAGCCTTGGTGCAGTGGGAAGGGGTTGTACCTGCTTGGGCTCAGTGTGCCAGGCTCTGCTGACTCCCCATGGGAGACCTTGATTTGGGGGATATGGGGGTGTGGGGTGGCTTGGGAGACAAGGTTGGGAGGTGGGAGGAGGGAGGAGGAGGGAATCTGTGGGTGGTATGTGGAGTAGAAAATTTCTTAATAAAAAAATGAAAAAAAGATTTGTAGGATTATTGTGTAAACTTTCTGCACTTTAAAATTTATAAGCATATAGGTATGATTAAAAATCTGTAAGAAATGGGTTAATTTAAAACTAGTACACCAAGATTGATAGTTGAAAATCTATATGTAGGTAATCTTAAAGGAAGCGTGGCTTTCCGCCATCTTAGCTGCTGTCCCCTCAGTGGGATAGAGGTAGCCACATGGCTGACAGCCTTCATTGCTTGGTTTGGAAAGGATGGATTTTGCCATGTGACTTTACTCCCATCTTGATTAAAATTGACCACATGGTGTAAGTCAAACGAAGAAAAGCCAATCCTCCTTGCTATAAAGTCCAAACCAGATGATTCCTTCACAAATTATGATCATGCTAATGAGCCTTCTCCTAGCTGGCCTAATCCAGCCATGGGTTCTTGCATTATGGGTGGATGCCAGGGTGGACAGCTTGTTCAAGGCACACATTCCCTACTTATTAAGTGTACACTTTCAAATAAAAAAGGATTGTGGTTCTGTACTGCTAATTCTTCCACCTTTATTGAAGAATTCCATTGTATAATTTTCACCAACAACTTTCTCTCTGAACGCAGGAGAAATTGGGAACAAGCCAGAGCACATGCAGACAAAGTCCAGACAACTTGCTACCTGGCCTGTCTCTGTAAGCCTGCTCTTAAAGTGCCATTTCTTCTTCCAGAGTTCCCCTGACATTAGGACAAATTTAAGCATCCTGAAAGGGGGCTCTAACTCCGCAGGCAGAAGTCTTAGTGTTGGCCTTCAAGGTGTACCATGGGAGAGATGAAAAAGGTCCCAAACAAAAATACCTGATGTAAGGACTTTCATCCAGGCATAGCAACTCCCTCTTGCTTTCAAAAGCCCTAAGAAACTCTGGGTCCCTGCTTCAAATGCAGTCAGGAGGGTCATTGGGCCTGGGTCTCCCAAAACCCTCTTAAAAAATTCAGACCATCCCACAGTGCCATCAAGAGGGACGTTAGGCCCATGTCATTTGTGGTATGGGTATATCAGGCCCAGATCACCCTCCAGCCCACCAGACCATGGATGACCAAGGGCCCCAGGCTCTCTTGGCCTGACAACCACCACCTCCCACAGGGATCCTCAGGTAGTCATCACAATATCAGAGTGATCCACCTCCTTTCTTCTGGACACCTGGGCCTCCTAATTAGTCCCAATGGAATCTTGGTTAACCACCTCTCCTTGTTTCCCTCTGATCAGGGTAGGGGGACGCCTTACTAACCACACCAAACCCCACCATTTAGTTGTATTTTTAGGGGTATCCCCTTTGCTCACTCCTTCCTAGAAATACTATCTTCTCCTGTCCCTTTGCTGGGAAGGTACTTATTAGCCAGAGTGGGAGCTTCTATTTCTTTTGCTCCCCATCAGCTTGACCCTAGGATCCCTGCCATTCCCCTTTCCTTCTCAAAACCACACAGTCTGACACACTTTTCCCTTTCCTGGCCTCCCAGGTGGATCTTTGAGAATGGGACACCCCAAATCCCTCTATAGCCAAACTTCATTCCTCTCTTGTTACCCAATTGCAAAACCCTACTAATTACATCACTTAGGCTCAGTATCCACTCCCTCTCCAAAGTCTTAGGGGATTTAAGTCTCTTTTCTCTGACCTCTTAAGAAAAACTCTTCTGTGCCCCTCACTTCTTCCCCCATACTTGAGGTTAAAAACCCCAGTGGAACCTACTACTTGACTCAGGATCTCCAATTGAATCAGCTCGGGAGTGGTTCCCCTTCAACCTGTGGTAACCAACCTCTATAAGCTTCAATGGGCCCTCCCAGCCTGAACCACTAATCAACAGGCTGAACAGCTCTCACCCATGCCTTTCAACTACCATGGAGACTGGGCCACTCTTAACCAAGATTCTGATTTGGCTCAAGTTGCTGATTTGAGTCTCTTAAGGTGCATAGGGATCATTTGCTTCTGACAGCTTCTTCTCCCCATCATATTTGGTTCCAAATTCTAGTGTCTACCTCCAGCTGTTTCTTCTCTCTACCTGGTTTAACCATCCATCTCTCTTCACCTACTTAGTAAGTGTCCTCTCTCTGTCTCCTCCTGCCTGCTGTGCCCTCCAGTGCCCCACCACAATGGCTACACTCTAGTTATTAAGACACTTGCTCCTCTCCCTCTATTGGAAAGCTTCCTGTTTCCTTGCCTCCTCACCTTAGTAGCTGCCTGCTAAATCCTGCAGCATCCTTAAGCACTTCTGGGTCTTTGAAACCTTGTTCCTCCTGTCTCCCATCTCTATCTTGAAAGTCTCACAACGTCCCTATGCTAGTCTGGCCTTCTGTCTTGCCTCTCAGCTCCCACTTGGAGCTTACAGAAACTCCTTCTGGTGGAGTTCCTTTTGCAATCTTTCTTCTCTTCCTCCATAAACTTAAATTTTATTAAATCCCTGAGAAGTAAAGTCTAAAAATATTTTGACAATGTTCCTAATGAATTAAATTTCAGAATGTATGGCATTGGTTTTAATCTTGTCTAGATCTCCCTTCATGTTTGTCATTGAATTTTGTAAAAAAAAAAAAAAAATGTTGACTGTCTCTAAAAATATGTGGAGGCCACAGACATCTTTCTTGTGATTACTGAATTATTTCCATGTTTTCACTTGTTCTTCACTTTTTAAGATTCCAGGCATTCAAAAGAGGAAGTAATGAAAAAAAAGTTCACATGTGGTCATAAAAGCAGGGGTCACTAATACTGTTATTGTACTTTAGGTTTAAGATATGAATACCAACTCATACATGAATACTTATTTAATTTAGAATCATCTATGGTCTCCCAAGCACCTGTAAGTATAGTCGTCTAAGATAGTTTTCATCCTTGATGTCACCACACATTATGAATTGATTTTGATAATGGTATTAGCAGATCAACAATGGAGCATCAAACATAAGCAACATCTAACAGGTTTGTCACAAATGCTTTGACACTTTCCCTACCTTAGATTAAAAACTACCGGGCACTGAATACTGTGAAGTATAGCTGTTGGACTTGCTACAAACCCAACGTCTCTTTAGGGAGTCCTTGCTACTGATGATCCTACTACCAATCAGGTAGGCATGTTTTTCTTCTCCTTCGACAGGAACCCTAAAACAAAAAATAAAATTTCTACAGAGGCTAGCACTGCATTCACTCCTGCAATGAAATCTTAGCCATCTCCAATGGCTTATTTGTAGTATGAGTCAAAGAAAGGCAGACTCTGTGAGGAATCACCAACACTGCTTTTTTACCTAGTGTCTTTTCCATCTTAGGGTTCAATGTGAACATTACCCTGTTGTCATTGATTCATATTGACCTGTAATGTGTATATAGGGCATTTAACAGATGTTTGCTGCCATGCTCAAAAGAACTGGTGTCATGGTTTACCTCACTGAGGGTGATATTAAATTCTATCTTGAAGTATTTTACACATATATGCAAGCAGGGAAAACCCACTTCTCAGTAAATTGCTGAAAAGGCTTTAATGATGGAAATGAGTGGGTCTGTGATTTATCATTTCAGTGAATGACTCCATTCAAACTGGTTAGCTATATTCATATCCAAGAGCTGCCTGGGGTGCCCTTTGATGATGAGACTTTAGAGGGGGTTCCCAATGTCCCTGGAGTCTCTGCTTCTGGGACAGATGCAGCTGTGCAAACAGTGGACTGACAAGTCCTACCCCAGCAGTTCTGCAGTGGCTTCCTGGGATTTCAGAGGCCTCACTGCCCATCTGCAGCTCTGAAGACAGCCAACAAGGGCATTTCTCAGCAGGAAATGTTTTACATTGGTGATGGAAGTGCAAAGATTACCCCTGATGCCATCATCATGTTAAAGATTTCAAGTCAAATCACACTAGGTAAATGCTTTGATGATGATAGTACATAAATAGGAGAGCACCCAAAGGATTTAAATTTGTTGGGATGTGGAGCTTGCTGGGGATTGACTCTTGCATATAAGCACACACCCTACCTCAGAGCCAACCTCAAGACCAATGGTTTATGTGTTTTGCTTTCTAGAACAATTGGCTTCACATGACCCTGACTTTTGTCTCTCATAGTCACAATTCACACATCACAACACATGAACACAGTAGAAAGAAAAGTGGTCTGAAAACATACAAGTTATTATATTCAGTGTTGTCTGTCCACTTCCAAGGGTGTTGTTTTGACTCTCTCCATAGGCCAATCCAGCAGTCAGAAACACTCGCACATCTCTTCAGGAAATTCTGTCATAAAACATGAAAAGCAAGTACACATGTCTCTCTGTTTCAAAGGACCCTTGAGTCTCTCTGCCCTACAGCCGCCTTCCTGGAAAGCAGCAGGTTGTAACTGAGGACCATCGACTCTGAAGCCCTCATAACCCTCAGTTCTCAGTGGATGCCTTTTAGACCCATAAGCTGAAGTATACTGACAGCCACTCATTCCTCTATGGCTAGAATCATCCCTTCTTAAGCCTGGCCTTCCAGTTGTTAACAGTTGCCATATTCAGTTTGTAGTATCTGCCAGCTTAGTTAAAGACTTCCATGATTAGCATGCATAGCAGTGGATTGTGGCCATGCAGGTTGGCTACGAGCCCTACATGAGAGCTTGTCTGTGGAAGATCTCGGGGCTCCAGTCAGAAGCAACAACATCAGCAACTGCATACACTCACATGTTCCCCATGTCCCCTGTATAGGAAGGGTGTAATCCTTCCTCATGCTTCAGCTTTATGATCCCCATCACAAGGCAATACACATTCAAGAGAAAAACAACAAACCAATTCCTGAGCCTTTCTTACCAGCTCTTCCAGGCTGTCAAATTGAGCTAGTTGGGCCCCTTGTGCCATGCAAGATGTCTGGCTAAATGTCCAGTTTCCCATGTCTTCAGAAAAATAAAAACATTTGCTTCCAAATCCAATCCAGTCATTTGGACAGGTGGCATAGCAAGGTCCAGGAGTTGAAATGACTGGTTTTTCTGTTCTCACTAAAAAACAGACAGTGCAATGAAATATAATAAAGAAACATTTCCATGTCTCATCTCCTTGGCTAGCCATGCAAGTCTCAGTTGGGAGGTATGTGCTTGTACTGTAGCTCTACTAATTTATCACTAGGAGACCCATCCTAGCATGATGGTGCCCAATCCAGGGCCTTCCAGTGAGCTCTGAGGAAATACTTTATTTTTCTTCTTTGTATTTTGTGTTCTGAGACAGAATCTCCCTATGTCTTCTACCTGGCCTGGATCTCACTGTATAGACTACACTTGTCTGGAGCTTGTAGTAATCCTCCTGGCTGTGTCTCCTGAGTGGTGGGACTAAAGACACCATACTCTGTGAGGAAATCATTTCTAGGCTATGAGTGCCTTAGGACTGAGAGGTCTAAATTTCCTCCATTTTACAAGCTGGGTCTAAGTTCCAGTTTCCTAAACAAACAACACCTCTGACAGCAAGGATTAAGGAGAGAGCACAGAGGTCTGAGTCATCTTCACAGTATCTAAAAGCAATGACATACACATATACATATGCATATACATATACAGATACATCATATACATACACATGCCACTCAGAACGGTGTGTAAGAAGCTCTGAATTTCAGAGGGCTTAGAAGAATAACAGACACTTTTCTGTCATACCTTTAGCTTTTTCTTCCTATGACAGATTAGAAAGTTTGCACTATTCTTTCAACAGGTCTCTAAATCCTAAAAATAACTGATTTTGTAAGAGATATTAAATACTACAAATAGCCCCCACACTAATTTTTAGTTGAACAGAATTTGTTGTAGCTGTTCCTAGTTCTTATACCCAGTACCACGAGACTTCAGTGAAAGGGACAAATGGAAGAGGCAGTGAGGGTGACTGTAATTCTTTTTATCTGACTCTTTTCAGGTTATGCTGACTAAGACTTTTTGGCAAATGTTTGTCCATGTTTAGGCCTGTGTATTATTTTCTGACAAGGTTAAAGTTGATTTTATAAAACAATATTATGAAACATATACTCGAGCTATGACAAAAAGCTGTGAGTAATTCTGAACAGTCCACAACTAAAAGCTTAGGAATGACATACTTCTAACACTTTCTATTTAGTATTTTCAGACAGTGGTTGAGGAAATATACTGAAACCAAGAGTCATGGGGGGTTCTGTACCTTCCCCAACCATATTACTCTTCACTCCCCTCACTTCTCTTAGGTGCATCAGCCTCCATGAGGTTTCTCCTTTACTTTCTTGTCTTAGTTCTTTGCTTGCCATTGGTCTCCCGGGTGGACATATGTCTCCTGCATCTCTCCAGAGCTTGCTGAACGCCATCTTCCCAGGGATGCTGAGCCTGGCTTCCTGTGCACACCACAGCCTGTGCTGTTCCTTCACTGCATCTTCCTGCTAGACCCCAAGTTCCCAGAGAACAGGAATTTCCAGTGTGTTTTCTCCCCAGCCCTTCCCACAGTGCCTGGCTCACAGTGGTCAGTAAGTCTAAGTGACAATGTGGATGTGGACAGAATGCTGCAGAATCTGGAGATGAGCCACTCACCTGATGACAAAGCAACAGACAGTGCAATTACAGCTGCAGTGAGGATGATGTTCAATGCATAGCTGCAGTAAAGCTTAGCAGGAGACTCAGGGGAGATGATCCTGAGACATATTTCTTGGAGCTTTTTACCTGAAAATATAAATATCATAACATCAATCTCAAGAACCTGCAAGGGCAGGTAAAGGTAATGGTGTCTGTTGATCATTCTAGTGTGACTCTGGGGGTCCTAGTTAGGACAACAGGGCAAGAAATAAGAAATAACAGTCAAGTCTCATAGAGATAAAAGTGTTGGTATTCAGATGACATGGATATATATATATATATATATATATATACATATAAATTTCTAAGAAGGCTATTGAAAGGGCTCTAAAAGTAATGAACAAGTTTACAATGTTGCAGGAAAATATGTCAATGCAGAAAATAATTTTCATTTTCATACACCAGCAATTGTCAAATGCGAACAAATTGTATGAGGATAGAAGTTCACAGCACTGCCAAACACACAATTATACATCTAATGAAACACTGGGTTTTTAAAACTCTCAGTACAATGTAGGTACAGTTTCTTGTGTGTGTGTGTGCGTGTGTGTGTGTGTGTGTGTGTGTGTGTGTGTGTGTGTGTGTGAGAGAGAGAGAGAGAGAGAGAGAGAGAGAGAGACAGACAGACAGACAGACAGACAGACAGACAGACAAACAGACAGATGTGGGGAGGGGGAAGGGAAACACTGCCAGTCCACTATTTAACTTTTTTTTTCCTTTTTAATGATCAGAGCAGAGTGTTCATTGCACTAAATCCAATTTTTTTTCTGGTACATAGATAAAGCTTTTGGTATTATAACCAAGAAAATCTTTGCTCTCATTCATAAAGATGTTTTTCATATTTTCTTCAAATAGATTTAAGTTCTAGGCTTCATGTTTGGGTCTGTGATCCATTCTGAGTCTGTTATAATGCACAGGATGAGGTGTGAGTCTTACCATGAAAACCCACTATCTAAGCATCATATGCACGAGTTTTTATCCTTTCTCTATTTAAGAATTGTCCACCTTGCCCAGTCTACAATACTGTGCACACACACTATAAACACACATTGGTTTTTAAAAATAAAAATGAGCCAAAATATGGAATAAAATGATATTTATGTAGTAAATACATGCATTAAGTATGCTTAATATTGTGAAAATTATGGGAAAAATAGTTAAAAACAGTTTAACATTTTGTTACAATGAGACTACCTTTACCTCATGGCCTGGATCTAGGGAAATTCCTCTTTACATACAAGCCTGTCTGTATTTACAGCAACTTTATGAGTTGACCGTGTATTTTGCAACAGTTCAAATATTCCTGAGCTTGTGACTAAGTAAACCAACATTACTCAACACCAGGGAAAATGATGGAAAAGGAAAACTGGAGCTCATGCTTACACCTATCCATATCTTATGTTGATTAAATGATCCTCAGTCAGCTGTCTCCAGAGGTCCCTAAGATAGGCCACATACACCAAAAACAAACTAAACAAACAAATGCAATTCAACCAACCAACCAAGCAATCAAGTGAGCAAAAACCCACGTCTTAGTCTTTTGTAATTAATTTATTGTTCATTTCTCTTGCCCAGAAATACTTGAGTGTTACATACTCTGCTAGAGTAACTAATGTAACAGAGGCCTCCATGCATCTCTACTTCTACAGAGACCCACTGTGACATGATAACAGGCTGGGGGTTCAGCTCCTCTGAGGGTCCCTGGTGAATCTCTCCTCTTTTAGTTTGAATCAAATTGCATCAAAATACATACCTATTTCTACCTCTTGCAGGCAGTCTGGTGTAGTGAAGTCTGTCTCTAGCATGCCCATGGAAGCCTCCTCATCCTTTGCAGCCTTCATCTGCGAGCCAAGAGGAAGAGACTCAACTGAATTCAGGAGGAGGTTTGGAACTTGAAACTGTAGAGGAGACAGAGCCTGTGTTCTGTATGTTGTTGCTCCTAATAAAGCCCAGCCTGTTTGGGTAATTTATCAACTACTCCTTATCAGTCCTGAACATGTCACCTCTTAGCATATAGTTTTCTGTTTCTTTTTTGAAATGATATTAAGTGTACTTTAAACAGGGTAAGTGAAACTGATAAATACTTTAGAATTTGAAAATATCCTTATCACTGATTCTTTAAGAAAAATACTGCTTTGATTAAAATTGTTATTATTAATTTGAGAGAGTATTTATTTATTTATTTATTTATTTATTTATTTATTTATTTATTTATTTATTTATTCACTCTTTCAAAGAGGGTCTATCTGTGTAGCTCTGGCTAGCCTCAAACTCAATATATAGACCAAGTTTGCTTCAAACTCATAGATATCAGCTTTCCTCTGCCTTCTAAGTGATATCAGTAAAGATGTAAGCCACCACACTCAGGCTAAATATTTTAATTTTAGAACATGTTTACTTATAGAATCTTGAGATTTGGCTATTCTGATAATATTCAGTAATTGTGACATTTGTTAGAAGTATGAGGATGCTGCTGAAAGGTTGGTAAAGGGAACACAGAGCTAGACAGCCATGACCTATGCAGGGATCTGTCCTGGAATCAGCGGCTTCATTCCTCAGTGGGTGCTCTACAAAGAGAACAGGAACAGATCTGAATGAGAGGTCTCATGGCATTATTATGATAAGTAAAGTGGAAGGATACATGTCATCGGTGTGATAGAGTGCAAGAAAGAACTAAGTACAACAGATAAGAGAGGAATGAACAGGCAGTGCATGTTGGAAAGTGTGATACAGGCAGTGTACTAGAGAAGAGTATTGTGCTATATTCCCCTAATGGGATGGGCAGTGATAACAGAGAGCAATGTCCTGCTACACCCAGCAATATAAGAACATTGCATGTGTACTTTGCCTTGTTTTTTTTCTTTTTTTAATAGAGAGCAAGAAAAAAATCTCTAGAGATCAGTAAACATTATTCTTGCTAAAAAAAAGAGCAGTATATAAATTTTTAGGAGTGATGTATTACAGCTAATGGAAGAATAAATACTTGTAACTATATTGTAAGTAAAACTTTGGAATAGTTATTAATGTTAAGCATAATCAAACCATGCTATAGCAATTTTATTTTATTACATGTGCACAAAGGGCATGTACAAAATAGACATACTAGTATTATTTCTAACAGCCAAACCAGAAACTTAGATGTTCATTAATATCAGTAGAACATAGAAACACACTGTGCTGTATTTATGTGGTGTGCATACCAGGCATCATTCAAGAGGAACCCATTCATGCAAGGCAACAACATGAATATCCTCAAATCCTAATAAGTGAGATGTCATGGACTACATGGGAAACAGTTTCATTTTTATCAAGTTCGAAACCATGCATTTAAACACAGCATAAGAATACAGTGTAGGAAAAGGAGGAGCAAAGAGAATAGATGTTCTGAAAACAGGGTGGCTTAGTTAAGTATGTCACCCCAAGAACACTGGAGCACTTGTTTAGGAAAAATGATACTCAAGAGAGCTTGAAATAGATTCTGTTCTTCCAACCCAAAGTACCAGTGTTTCTTGAGGGTGCAGCTTTACCAAGCTTACCCGATACGGCAAAGCCAAAACCTGCACCAATTTCACCTCTGTGGTGATATTGTGTTCCCCAATATATTGTGCACCCTAATAAACTTATCTGGGGTCAGAGAACAGAACAGCCACTTGACAGACATAGAGGCCAGAAAATGTTGGCACACATACCTTTAATCCTAGCATTCCAGAGGCAGAGATTCAAATAGCAGAGATTCCAGTGAGTTCAAAGTCACACTGGAAACAGCCAGGCATGGTGACACATGCCTTTAATCCCAGGAAGTGATGGCAGGAAGCAGAAAGGTATATAAGGTATGAAAACCAGGAACTAGAGCTATTAAGCTTTTAGGCTTTTAGTAGCAGTTCAGCTGAAATCAGTTCAGGTGAGGACTCAGAAGCTTTCAGTCTGAAGATTCATGAAAACAGGATTGGCTGAGAAGTTGGCAGAGTCGAGGTTAGCTGTGGCTTGTTCTGTCTCTCTGATCTTTCAGTGTTCACCCCAATATCTGGCTCTGGTTTGTTTTTATTAATAAGAACTTTTAAGATTCTTGCTACACACCTCCTCTGACTCTCAGTTGACTTCAAAATTACTATTTTTTTCACACAGCTTCTGTGGTGTCTGCCTCCTCTGAAAATCTTGGGTCAGTTAGTAACCCATGTAAGAACCCAGCTCGGTACATAGACACTGTCATCATTTTTAATGTGTTTTTTTTTTCTGGGACTGTGACCCAGACTATCTTTCATAGATTCAACAGGTCATAGATTAAAGGGCAAGATGACAAACTTCTAGAGTCAGATGTTCTTGCTCCCAATGACACTAAATATTTAAAATCTCTTTGCAAGGAAGAGTAATTGTTAATCCTGAAGATGGGAGAGAAAGACCACTGACCCAACTTATCATGGCCAAATTCATTAAAGCAAGCAATTAAATAAAGCATGGTTTTGTATTCGTGTACATGGGCTGCCTCAACCTAAGGCAGGTTTGAGGAGGTCAGTCATGGATGTGAGAAAGAAAAGCCTTTTATAGCTCAGGGGTAGGGGCTTCCTACCATAAGGGATGTGGTAGACAAAACAAATGGGGTTACAGGAGCAGAACTAATAAATTAGTCCTAATGACCTCTTGATACCAAGGCATAGTTGCAGGTGGGCATAACAAGGTAATCATAACAAGAGGTTGTTATAACAATAGGTGGCCATATAACCTTTTGAAACAAAAGTAGGGCTGCAAGATGGTTATAAACAACTTACTGAAACAAAGACATGGTTGCCATTCCTGGACCAGACAGTACAGAACTATTTATAGTTACAGTTATAGGTGGGGCACATTGAGAAACAGAGGTTTAATCATAAACAGAAATGAACCTAGTTTGTCTTTACTATAAGATGGGTTCCAAGTCCAAGGAATGTTGGTTCTTCATAGTAAAGACTGATCCTCCTGAAGTTAGCTAGAAGCTTCCCCAGGAACATGTGACATTTTTTGCACAGGCTCCTGGCTCATCCCACAGATGCCCCCTGATTCTGTTGTCCCTCCTGGTACTCGCTCCTTCCATCCTTCCCCCACCAGATCCCTCCTGTTCCTATCCCCATTCCTCCTTCTAGAACCCTCCCCCATCCACTGACAATGTCTATTCTATTTGTCCTTCATGGTGAGCTTCATGCATCCATATCTTGAATCCTCCTTGTTAACCTCCCTAGCTAATATCCATGGAATGACCACCTGTGTCTGAAGAGAAACAGTGGAGGAGGAGTAGATGGGGCAGGAGGTTGGGAACATGGTGGGAAGAGGGGAGGGGAAAAGCTTTGGTTAGGATGTAAAAACAAGAAAAAAATCAATATAACTTCAGATGTATGAAAGAAAGAAGGTTTGAAGAAAGGATTCCTATTCTCACTTCTTAGAGATAATAATATACATTTTGCAAAAAATAAAATAAAGTAAGAATCTTAGCAGTTAAGAGGTCAAATCAGGAAGACAGCTAGTATGAACTCAGTTTGAACTACAATGCTATTTCCCACTTTCTCTTCTATCAGGTTCATATTAACTGAATTTATATTGAGGTCTTTGATGCACTTGGACTTGAGTTTAGGGTGTAGGGTGATAGATTTGGATCTATTTGCATTTCTACATGCCAACATCCAGTTATGTCAGCACCATTTGTTGAAGATGCTGTCTTTTTTCCATTGTATAATTTTGGCTTCTGTAAAAAATCAGGTGTCCATCCATGTGTGCATTTACATTTGGGTCTTAGATTTAATTCCATCGATTCACCTGTCTGTTCTTATGTCAGTACGATGCTGCTTTTATTACTATAGCTCAATAATAGAGCTTGAAATCAGGGAGAATGATACTTCTACATTATTGTACAGGATGGTTTTAGCTACCCTGGGTTTTTTGTTTTTCCAAATGAAGTTGAGTATTGTTCTTTCAAGATCTGTAAAGAATTGTGTTGGAATTTTGATGAGATTGCATTGTTCCTGAATAGAACACCAGTAGCACTGACACTAAGATTGGCAATTAATAAATGGGACCTCATGAAACTAACAAGTTCTGTAAGATAAAGGACACCATCAATAGGATAAAACAGCAGTCTACAAAATGGAACAATATTTTCAACAGCCTCACATCTGACAGAGGGCAGATCTCTAAAATATATAAAAACTCAAGGAATTGGACATAAAATACCAAATAATCCAATTTAAAAATTGGGTACAGATCTAAACAGAGAATTCTCAATAGGAAAATCTCAAATGGCTGACATACATTTAAAGAAATGTTCAACATCCTTAGCCATTGGAGAAATGCAAATCAAAATGACTGAGATTCTAACTTACACCTGTCAGAATGGCTAAGAAAGATCAAAACCACAAATGACAGCTTATTCTGGAGAGGATGTGGAGTAAGGGGAACACTCCTCCACTGCTGGTAGGTGTGCAAACTTGTATAGCCACTTTGGAAATCAAAATGGTGGTTTTACAGAAAACTGGAAATTGATCTACCTCAAGACGCAGCTATACTACTATTGGGCATATACCCAAAAGGTATTCAGTCATATCACAAGGACACTTGCTCAACTATGGTCATAGCAGTGTTATTTTTAATAGACAGAATCTGGAAACAACCTATATGCCCCTAAACCAAAGAATGGATAAAGGCAATGTGGTATATTTACACAATGGAGTATTACTCAGCTGTTAAAAACAAGGACATCATGAAATTTTCAGGCAAATAAATGGAACTGGAAAACATCATCCTGAGTGAGGTAATACAGACCCCGAAAAACAAACACAGTATGTACTCAGTTATAAGTGAATATCAGCTATAAAGC